ATCTTACTCACATTGCATACATAAACGTGTGCATACCCACAATGCTAGCTTTTAGAATGTATAAATTCAGAACACAATATTGGCATATTCATTGTTGATCCAATGTCTAATTTGATTGACTGTGCCTGCCCTGTACTAGTCACTGCATATTTTACATACTATGCCTATATACTGAGCATATGTATATTGAGCATGGTGCTCAAAGCAGACCTTTTTTATCTAGTTAATGAAACATTTTCTCACTTTTAAGGTAAGGGATAGTTTTTAATTAAGATTTAAAGATTATTTTAGAGTAGTAGTTTAAATAGCCTCTTTGACTCCAGAAAGTCTGGATTCTATAGCGTTAAATACCATAGTGGTTGCCCATCATGAACAGTGTTTGGAGGAGTTTCCAGATTGATTCAGATTGGAAGCAGGAGTGGCATCCACTTCCTAAACAAGATACCTTTGGAAACTCTATAAATTCTAGAAATATAAAGAAATGATGTTAAGTATAGAATAGAATTCAGGTCTTTTGTGGTTGATATGAGTTATATTCAACTTGACGACACTTAACCACTGCTATGTGAGATTGATGTTGTTGTTGTTATATGCCGTCGAGTCACTTGCAACTCATAATGACCCTATGTACAATAGCCCTAAACTCTGCTCTGTCTTGTGTCAATTCCACTGTCTCCAATACACCCACCCCAATTACCCCAATCACTGAATCAATACACCTCATAGAGGACTTTCCCTTCCTGTACTGTCCCTCCACACTCCCAGGCATGATGTCCTGCTCCAAGGACCAGTCCCTCCTTGCAACATGTCCGAAGTATGTTAGACGAAGCCTCAGAATCCTTGTCTCCAAGGAGCCGCCGGTTTAATCCTCTCCAGGATGAATCTGTTTGTTTTTCTAGTAGTCCATACCCTCAATACTCTTCTCTAGCATCATAACTCAAAGGCATCAATTCTCCTTCTATCATCCCTAGTCATTGTCCAGTACTCTGATGCAAATGATTGCAAAGACCATGGCCTGTATCAGACTCACCTTAGTCTCCAGAAAGACACCATTGTTCTTCAGAACTTTGGAAAGGTCTCCAGACTTTCCCATCGCAATACATCTTTTAAATTCCTGGCTACTGGTGCCAAGAGTGTTGATTGTGGAGCCAAGCAAACTAAAGGTGTTAACAGTCTCTATCTCTTTACCATCCATCTTGATGCTGCCAATTGGTCCAGTGGTGAGAATCTTTGTCTTCTTGACATTGAGCCTCAATCCATATTGTAGGCTGCAGTCCTTGACACTCTGCAGCAAGCACTTCAGGTCCTCCTCAGGTTCAGCAAGCAGGGTTGTGTCATCTGCATAATGGAGGTTGTTGATAGATCTTCCTGGATAATCTGCTCTGCATATAGGTTAAAAAGGTATGGAGACAGTATACATCCTTGGTGCACACCTTTCCCGATTTTGAACCATGCAGTGTTTCCTTGCTCTGTTCTGATGACTGCCTCCTGGTCCAAGTATAGGTTTCACATAAACACAATGAAGTGTTCTGGTATTCACATTCTTCTCAGCCACAGTTTGTTATGATCCACATAGTCAAAGGCCTTTGCACAGTCAATGAAACACAGATAGACATTCCTCTGGTATTCCCTGCTTTCAGCCAAGATGCATCTAACATTAGTTACAATATCCCTAGTACCACGACCCCTTCTAAATCCAGCCTGGACTTCTGGCAGTTCTCTGCTGATGTGCTGTTCCAGTAGTTTCTGGATAATCTTCAGTAGAATCTTGCTTGCATGTGAAATCAATGATATTGCTCTATAGTTTCCACATTCTGTTGGGTCACCCTTCTTTGGGATGGGAACAAATATAGATATCTTCCAGTCAGTTGGCCAAGTGGTCGTTCTCCAGATTTCTTTGCACAACTTGGTGAGCACATCCAGGGCAGCATCTTTTAGCTGTTGTTAAATTTTGGAGGAACCGTCTTCTACTTTGTACATCACTCTTTGTCAATTAGCTATTCTACAGTAATCTGGGTTTGCTGAGATGCTGAACCTTGTGCCACTGGGGTGTCTAATGCCATAATGGTTTCCCAGTGTGGACAGTGTTTGGTGGAGCTCACAGTTGTAAAACAGGTTTAGAAGCAGAAGTGGCATCAACTTCCTAAACCTATGAAAACTCTGTAACCTAGAGAAATGACAATAGCTATAGAAAGAAATTAGGTATTTTATTCATAGAGTTTCTTTGAGTTGTGCTTGACTTGATGGCAATCAACAACAACAACAACATGCCTGTGTATATACATAGAAAAATGTTCCACAAAATATAACTATCTTTAGAGGAGATGGGATTGAATTTTGGGAATTTCTACTCTTCTCAATATATTTTCATATTTTAATTTTTTATAGTTAACATGTGCCAATTTTACAGTTCGATATAATCATTATCACATTAGAATAAATGGCATCAGATTTGCTACAGATACAAAATATGCCTCATAAAAAAGCTTATAAAATGTACAAATTAGCACAGTAAGTGAATAACTTTAGACTTTGGGCAACTTGCCACTTTTCCTTGGAAATAATACTGCCCTGTTGGAGACGGTCTTTTTAATTATGGTACATCCCTGCTACAAATATAACCTCTCTTTTCACCCCCTAAAAGATTGATTGATTTAACCGATAGGCAAATAAATGCAATACCTCTAGATTTCACAAAGACATCTAACCAGCTGTTTCATGATATCCTTTTGGTCAAAAAAGAAAAATGAAGCCTGAATGGTCTGAATGATCATTAACACCGAGGCCTCTATAATGAACTTCACTTATAACTGGATTAAAGTTGTAGTGTCAAACATTTGACTTCAATTCTTACCCTGTGCTGTCCTATGTTTCATTCAATGACTTGAGTAAAGATAAGAGTGTTGGAGCATACATGTGGAATGTGTAATTGATTTCCAAGACAAAGAATGGCAAATATTTTTAGTGGCATAATCAGAATTCAAAATGACAACATAAAACACAATGTAGAACAATGGCAGGTTCTTTACTGGGACCCAAAAACCCAGACATGAGCACAGAGTGGAGATAACTGGCCTGGGGCTTGGTCTATAGAAAACAGAACATGAATCAGAAGAAGGAATGCAAGAAGAAGGAGTTTGAAAAGCTATTTGGATTTTGTACAGCTTTTACATAAATGGAGGATTCACATGAAGAAAGTATTAATTTCTTTATGTTCTGAAGATTTCTATTTTGAAATTTATTTTTAAAACTTTCTGATTGTTTCTTCAATGAGATGGAAAGGGCAATTTGCAATTTCATTTGGAATGTAAAGAGACCCCAAATAAGCAAAGCACTCCTTAAAAATAGAAACAAGTTAGGAGGCATCTCACTCTCTGACTTCAAATCCTACTACACTGTTGTGGTGGTCAAGACAGCATGGTACTGGTACAATGACAGACACATAGATCAATGGAATAGAATTGAGAACCCAGATTTCAGCCCTTCTACCTATCGTCAACTGATTTTTCACAAGGATGAACTCAATTAAATGCAGAAATTACAGCATTTTTAACAAATGGTGCTGGTAAAATTGGAAAACCATCTGCAGAAAACTCAAACAAGACCCACACCTCACACCATACACAAAAACCAACTCAAAGTAGATCACAGACCTAGGACTAACACCAAGAACTATAGACTTCATTAGAGAAAAACTTGGAAGAACCCCTGAAGCCCTAATCCACAACATAAACAGTCTTCCTGAAAAATCATCCTGAAAAACCTACAACCAGGAGAGGATAAAATATATGAATGAGTCCTTCTAAGAATCAAATCCCTATGCACTTCAAAAACTCCTCCAACACGCCAAAAAGTGAAGCCACAGACTGGGAAAATATATTTGGTAATGACATGTCTGATAAAGGACTTATATTTAGAATTTATAGAATATGTGAGCACCGCAATGAGATAAAGGTAAACAAGCCTATTGCAAAATAAGAACAGAATATGAACAGACACTTCACCAAAGAAGACATTCAGATGGTAAACAAACACATGAAGAAATGTTCAAAATCTCTAGCTCTAAGAGAGATGCAAATCAAAACAATTATGAGATATCATCTCACTCCAGTTAGAATAGCAAAATTTAACAGAGCAGCAAACAACAAATGCTGGCGAGGTTGTGGAAAAACTGGAACCCTTATTCACTGTTGGTGGGAGTGTACCACTATGGAAGGCATTATGGCACTTTCTCAAAAAGTTGGAAATAGAATAACATTTGACCTAGCAATTCCACTCTTGGTAATATACCCTAAAGAAACCATAATTGCCATCCAAGCAGATATATGCACAATCATGTTTATTGCAGCTTTGTTCACAATATCAAAGAACTGGAAACAACCCAAGTATCCATCAACACACAAATGGATAGAGAAGCTGTGGTATATTCACAGAGTGGAATATTATGCAGCACTGAAAAAGAAAGAATTAATGAATTATTATACAAAATAGGTGACCCTAGAGGACATTATGCTAAGTGAAAGATCTTGGCCACAAAAAGACAAATACTGTAAAATGTCACTGTTATAAAACAGGATTGACATGGGGTTTGGGGGAAACTAAGGAAAGAGGGGATAAATAATGTACACAGCATTGAACAGACAAGGGAGACATGATTAGGTATTACTTGTATGACACAAGTCCAGAATAAGAGCCGCATAGTAAAGTTATTGTGGAAGGTACTGTATAACAATGAAAAAACATTTTTTCCAAAGAAAAAAGTGAACTGGGGAGGGGCAGAGAGGAGGCAGGGTGGAAAATGTGCAACAATGAATGAATGGAAGTCCAAGTTCTTAATAAACTTACAACAAAATATTTTAAAAACCCTGTGAATGTGAATTGAGCAAAATAGAAGGGTATTAATCTTGTATTACACTGAATTTAAAAAATGGCAGCCAGTCAAAAATGGAGGTAGCCTCATGAGGAGATTTCAATTCAGTGTCCCTTGTTTCTTTTCCCAGCCCTCTCAGGAAGCTGTGAAGGAGATGATACAGTTCTCTAAGGACACACTGGAAAAGATTGACAAGGCTCGCTCTGAGGGTTTGTACCATGAGGTAATACCTTTTTTATTATTTATTTATTTATTTATTTATTTATTAGGAGAGTTAGGCTGGAGAAGAAGATGGAAAGATTCTCCAGTAAGGAAACAGAGTGATATGAGAAAGAGAAGCTGCAATCAGTTCCCTTATCTGAATATATCCTTTGGTTGAGAGTATGACTCTATGATGCTCAAGCCTTTAGCCCACTTGGAGATGAGTTCTCAGTGACTCTTTAATCCAGTGAAATTTGGTTAAATGAATTTTGTTAAACAAACTCTAAGTTGGGTTAATGTAGAGAAAAAAGTTTTGGCATCTCAATTTGGCATCAGGGATGTCTGAATGAAGACAACGGTGAGAATAGGCATGGATTGCTTGCTGTCCTATAATTGACCCAATGAGTATACAGGCAGTCATCCCAGTATTTAACCCACTGTGCCACCAGGACGCCAGACTGTATTTGAAACAAATCTACAGATTCTAGTCTGCCATTTTATAGTTAAACCTGACTCTAGATGAACCATGTGTTCTCAGCCCTGGATATTACACTTGAACTGCTAGAACTCTTGGTGCCCATATCAAATCCTAGGACAATGTTACCAGAATCTCTGGGGATAAGACCTAAGTACATTTAAAGCTTTTAAGGCAAAGTTGAGACCGACTGCCAAACACAGCAAACCCAAACCAAACCAAACTTACTTCTCTGAAGTCAGTTCTGACTCCTAGTGAGTCTGTTTAGGAGGAGAGAGTGGAACTGCCCAATATGGTTCCATATCTATACATACTTAGGAATATTCTTCTCCTGAGGAGAAAATAGTGGATTTGGGTCCATTGTGCAACCTGACACACCTTCATTCTCTTGTCTGTATACCAGTTGTGTTCAACTCACCTGGGTAGCTTATTCTAAATACAGATGTTGATATTTCAACCCTTTTATTTGACTCATGCAACTTGAAACAGTCCATGAGAACTTTGGATCAGTATTGTTCTTATAAGATGTTTAAGCAAATCTGATGTGCAGATAGGGAGTGTGATTTCTCTTCATCTTTGTGTTCTGACATCATGCTGGGGAAAGTGAAAGGTCAGAAAAAGAGAAGATCATCCACAAGATAGGTTGACACAGTGACTATAACAATGGAAGTATATCAGAGATCTCTCAGACATTCTGTCGGGTAGGAGAGACAGTCACATAAACTGTTACATTGTTGTTGTTGATTGCCATCCAGTCGAGCATGGTTCATAGTGACTCTATGAACAAAAGACCTAATGCCTCTCTATAGCTATCGTTGTTTCTCCAAGTTCATATTCATAGTTTCCATAGACATGTGGTTTAGGAAGTGCTACGTTATGATACAGAAAACAAAGCAGATGCATGAGTTGAAAGTTGTAGCAATCAAGAGGACCCCACTGGCTTCTCACCTACTCTTAATTTCTCCATTCAAGCAAACTTTTTGTTTTGTTTTTGTTTTTGTTCTTGTTTTTGGGCCAGATGTAGAGTTGTACCTGCACCATGGACTTATGTGAAGGGGTTGTCTTGGGGATAAAGGAATGATTACAATGTTCACTTTGCCATACTTGCACCTATGAAAAGGCTTATAGATTCTGGGAAACTCCGAGAGGCACACTAGTTTGTATGACTTTGTGAATTTCATTCATTAAGGGAGCAAGAGAAAAATTAACTATTAGATGCAAAGACTGGCTGACTTTGTAGAAATGAATTTGTCTGTACACTCTAATTCTATACTGAATCTAGACAGACTCATTTAACTCCTCACCAGGGCCAATGTGGCTGTTTCCTCTTGGGTCTCCCAGCTGTAAAAACTTCTTTTTATACTAATGCTTCTTAACCCTCCTACCAAAGGAAATTGTCTAATTTCATGGGACACCCAGATGGTTAGAAATTATGAATGCCAGAATCTCTCCACAGATACTTGGTTTCAATTGGTGCTAGGGCTGCAAATAATTGATAGGGTGATTACAAACAAAAGCTATGGAGTGCAACTGCTTAGTTTGAATCCTTGTCTCATTGCTTGCTGTTGTTGTTGTGGTTGTTGTTATGTGCCACTGAGTCACCTGCAACTCATAGTGACCCTAAACAGCCCTAAACCCTGCTCTGTCCTGTGCCAGTTTCACTGGCTCTGACACAACCACCCCCATTTCCCCAGTCACTGAATCAATCCACCTCATAGAGGGCCTTCCTCTCCTGCACCGTCCCTCCACCCTACCAAGCATGATGTCCCTCTCCAAGGACTGTTCCCTCCTTGCAGCATGTCCAAAGTATATCAGATGAAGCTTCAGAATCCTTGCCTCCAAGAAGCAGTTTGGTTTCACCCTCTCCAGGCTGAACCTGTTCGTTTTCTTAGCAGTCCATGGTATATTCAATACTATTCTCCAACACCACAGCTCAAAGGCATCAGTTCTCCTTCTATCATCCCTAGTCATTGTCCAGCTCTCTAATGCATAGCAAGTAATGGCAAAGACCATGGTCTGTATCAGGTGCTTCTTAGTCTCCCGAGTGACACCATTGCTCTTCAGTACTTTGGAGAGGTCCCTAACAGCAGAATTTACCATTGCAATACATCTTTTAATTCCTTGGCTACTGGTGCCAAGAGTGTTGACTGTGGAGCCAAGCAAACTAAAGCTGTTAACAATCTCAGTCTCTTCACCATTGATCCTGATGCTGTCAATTGGCCCAGTGGTGAGCATCTTTGTCTTCTTGATATTGAGCTTTAATCTATATTGAAGGCTGCAGTTCTTGACCTTCTGCAGCAAGCACTTCAGGTCCTTTTCAGTTTCAGCAAGCAGGGTTGTGTCATCTGCATAACAGAAATTGTTGATGAATCTTCCACCAATCCTGATGCTGCACTTCTCATAGAGTCCAGCCTCCTGGATAATCTGTTCTGAATATAGGTTAAAAGGGTATGGAGATAGAACACATCCCAGACGTACACCCTTCCCAATTTTGGGCCATGCAAGGTTTCCTTGCTTTGTTCTGATAACTGCCTCCCGGACCAAGTATAGGTTTAGCATTAGCATGATCAAATGTTCTAGGATTCTCATTTTTCTCAGAGTCAGCCACAGTTTGTTGTGATCCACACAGTCAAACACATTTGCATAATCAATGAAGCACAGATAGACATTCCTCTGGTACTCCTTGCTTTCAGCTAAGATCCATCTAACATTAGCTATGTTTCAGTTGATATCTCCCTATCAACTGTTGTTGCTGTTGTTGTTGTTGTTAAGTGCCGTCGAGTCGCAGGTGACTCATAGCGACTCTGTGAAGGAAAGTCCTCAACACTTGTGTGTCTTTCATCCTCTCTCCAGGTTCATAGGGTTTCCAGAGGCAATCTATTATGGAAGTGGATGCCACTACATCACTATAATTCCCTACTGCTGTGAGGTTAAGCACATACACATACACCAACACACCCCCTTATGCATGTGCTTGCTCTCACACTAGTGCAACAATGTAATATTACACATGTGTGTGTGTTTGTGTGTGTTAATAGGTTGCCGTGCTAAGTTATTACTGGCTTATTGGTAAGGAATTGTGTTGCAAACCCAGAGGTATGCAGTTCAAATCCACCAGCTGCTCTATGGAAGAAAGATGGGCAATCTCCTCTCATGCTATTTATTGCCTCTGAAAACCCACTGGAGGGTGAGATAGGGGTTGGTTTTGACTTGACAGTACACTCAACAATGGAAATTTGAACCCACTAGCTGTTCCATAGGAGAAGGATAAGAAATTTAAAAAATGAGTGATTTTTTTTAAAAAATGGAAATTTGTACACTGATGTGTACAATAATGATCTTATAGCAGCATTATTCAAAATCATAAGAACATGGAAACAGTCTTACTGTCAATCAATAAATTAATGGATTTAGAAATGATGTTACATTCACACAATAGAATAGTATTCAAAGAACACTTAAAGTATCGCATAATGTGGGAGAGACTGGAGAGCAAATATGAGTATTTTAAAGAGTGAGTATATAGAGTATAGAAATTATCAAGCAATATGATAATATCACATGCAAGCAAGATTTTGCTTAAAATTATCAAAAAATGACCATAACGGTCAACTGCCAGATGTCCAGGCTGGGTTTAGAAGAGGCCATGACACTAGGATCATTATAGCCAATGTTAGATGTATCTTGGCTGAAAGCAGAGGGTACCAGAGGAATGTCTATCTGGGTTTCATTGACTATTCATAGGCATTTGACTGTGTGGATCATAGTGAACAGTAGCTAACCCTGAGAAGAATGAGAATCCCAGAACACTTTTTTGTGCTTATGCAAAATTTACACTTGGACTAGCAGTCAGTCGTCAGAAAAGAGCAAGGAAACACTGTAGAAAATCAGGAAAAGTGTATGCCAGGGATGCATCTCCACACATTTTCAATCTCTATACAGAACAGATAATCCCAGCAACTGGGATCCATGAGGAAGAAGAGACATCAGGATTGGAGGAAGATTCATCAACAGTATGTGTTATACAGATAGCACAACCATACTTGCTGAAACTGTGTAGGACTTGACGCATTTGCTGCAGAAGGTCAAGGACTGCAGCCTTAAATACGGATTGAAGCTCAACATCAAGAAAACAAAAATTCTCACCACTGGGCCAACAGGCAGCATCATGATAGATAATGAAGAGATTGAGATTAACAGCTTCAGTTTACTTGGCATCACAATCAACACTTTTGGTACCAGCAGCCAGGAAATAAAACGATTAATTGCTTTGGGAAAATCTGCTGTCAGGGACCTCCCCAGAATACTAAAGAGCAATGAAGTCAGTCTAGAGACTAAACTACACTTCATCCAGGCCATGGTCTTCACAATTACCTGCTATTCATTAGAGACCTGGACAATGACTAAGGATCATAGAAAAAGAATTGATGCTTTGAGCTGTGGTGCTGGAGAAGAGTATTGAATATACCATGGACTGCTAGGAGAACAAAAAGTTCATCCTGGAGAGAGTGGAACCAGGCTACTCCTTGGAAGCAAGGATTTTGAAGCTTCATCTGACATGCTTTGGCCATGTTGCAAGGAGGGACCAGTCCTTAGAGATGGACACCATGCTTGGGAGGGTAGAGGGACAGCGCAAGAGAGGAAGACGCTGGGTGAGATGGATTGGCTCAGTGACTGGGGTTATGGAAATAGATATGTCAGAGACAATGAGGTTGGCTTATGATAGAGCAGGTTTCAGGGTGGTTGAACACAGGGTCACTATGAGTCACAAGTGACTTAACGCACATTAATAACAGTAGTGCAGGGTGTTGCACCGCTAAGTATTGCAATGTCATAATAATATGAGCTGTGAGCTAAGTATGTGTCATGGGCCACTGATAATGAGCAATAGGTGCTTATGTCTCATTTCAGGTGGTGAAATTATGTCGGGAGTGCCTGCAGAAACAGGAGACCATATTCTCTGACACCAATCTCTACATGCTGCGAATGCTGAGTATCGTTTCAGAGGTCCTCTCTTACCTCCAGGCCTTTGAGGAGGCTGCTCACTATGCCAGGAGGATGGTGGATGGTTACATGTAGGTTCCAGTCCTGGGTCTCACAGACTCACAAATGTGTGTCTATTCCAAGTATGGCAAGCAAATGGTACACACATGTTGCCATTCCACCTTCCTCCACCCACAGCTGTTGTTGTTGTTAAGTGCTGTTGAGTCGCAGGCGACTCATAGCGACCCTATGAAGGAGAGTCCTTGACACTTGGGTGCCTTTCATCCTCTCTCCAAGTTCATAGGGTTTCCGGAGGCAAGCTATTACAAAAGTGGATGCCACTCCTCCTTCTAAACTTGTTTTAATTGGGGAGCTCCACCCCACTCTCTGTCCACATTGGGTAACCAACCATTAACACATTTGACACATCAGTGTCACAGTGTTCAGCCTCACAGCAACCACAAGTGACCGCTGTGCGGCAACTTGTACACCAGGGCTATACGATCTAGAGGAATGTCTGAACAAAAACAAGGAAAGATAGGCCCGAGGGCCGGGGATTAAAAGTCACCCACCTTTGGCTTGGTACCATCGCTTTCTGTCCACTGGGCCAACTGATCTCTCTCTCTGTGTTGATATTATTGTTGTTAAGTGCCATCAAGTCACAGGCGACTCATAGTGACCCTATGAAGGAGAGTCCTCGACGGTTGGATGCCTTTCATTCTCTCTCCAGGTTCATAGGTCACCCACAGTAGACATCAAAAATCGATCATGGTTATCCTTACAGAGAGTCTCTTTACTAGGAGGCTTCAAATAGCAATGATCAATCAAAGCTGGTGCCTGAGAGGAAACCTAGCTCTCATCCATGGTCTTCTCCCAGATTCACTTGAGTAGCATCTTATTTTCCTTAAGACTAAGCCCATTTAAATGTTAATAATTTTAAAATATCCTCCTCTTTAACACTCAACATAGGAATATAAGTAGCCCTGCTGGTGTAGTGCAGAACATATTTGGCTGCTGACCAAAAGTTGGTAGTTTATATCCACCAGTTGCTCCATGGGAGAAAAGCAGACAGAATCCTCCTGTAAAGATTTAAAGATTAAAGATCAATCTTGAGATCCCAATGGTGCAAAAAAATCAACCTGATGGCAATAAGTTTTTGGTAGAGTTTAAAGAAGTAGACCTTTCTTCCTCAGGAGGCATATATCTCATAAGGTTGGCAGGAGGAGAGGGGCTTGATCAATGAGGTCACTTTATAAATTGTCATGAGAACCATTGGGATTATGCACTGTTGTTATTTACTACGTCTCTTACAGGAAGCTTTACCATCCCAACAATGCCCAACTGGGCATGGCTGTGATGCGGGCAGGGCTGACCAACTGGCACGCTGGTAACATAGAGGTGGGACATGGGATGATATGCAAAGCCTACGCTATTCTCCTGGTGACTCATGGACCCTCTCACCCCATCTCTAAAGACTTAGAGGCAAGTAGCACCTTGGACTGAACTCTCTGCCTGCTCTGGGCTCTAGTAAGGATGAAAGCTTGTCTTCAGGTATGATCTACTTTAAAGAAGCCCAAAGATTTCCAGTCAGAAAAGCAAGGAGTCAAATTGTGAATTAACACACTTCCTCTTTTTTCACATCAAGGAAGTTGAAGTCCAGAGAAAGGTCTGTGGTTGATAACAAAGCTGAAATTTGAACCCTGAATTTGTTGTGCTATTATGCTGCAAGGCTGGACAGAGTCTAAACAGTGTTGTGTAGGGATGCTTGTGTGTGCAGCCACTTACTTAGAAAGTACTCTGGACTGTAGAGTTTGGGAGCACTGGCTCTGTGTTCAGATTATCTGCACTGAGTTTCAGAATCACCACTTTTTAACTGTGTAACTTCTCAAATATTGGATGTCATTAGCCTCAGACATCCCCATAAATTGAGTTCTAAGCTCAACCAAAACTTGTCTTAGTCTGTATTGTCTAAAGAAACAAGACTGATGAGAAAATGGCTCATGTTTTTATTTGGTAAAAGAGGCTGACAAGTCCCAGGTCATTGGGTAAGACTTCAGGAAAGACTGTATCCCTCAGATAACCTCTGTGAAGTACAAAGGAACCTTGTCCATTTCACTGATGGCAGTACTGAGGGGTGAAATGATTAAGTCACTTTTCAAAATTCTCAAAGCTAGTATATTTGGGAACCAGTATTCAAATCCAGGCTTCTCATTAGACAGTTCCTAGTAACACACATTCTCTTCTGCGCATAATCTGTCAAGCTTCCCTCTTAGGGAGCCAACTTCCCTTCACAAACAATGTGTAAGCGAGTATATGTGTGTATATCCTCAGAAGGAGAGTTGTTTTGAGTCTGCATGAGTAGGTGTCATTTACCCTCTTGGATGTTCTTTTCCCGAGAAACAAGGTAGGTCAACAAAGGCCAACATGATCTGGGAGCTTGTCTGCAATGTTGATGGTGTCTCTGTCTCCCATAGGCCATGCGGGTACAGACGGAAATGGAGCTGCGCATGTTCCGTCAGAATGAATTCATGTATCACAAGATGCGCGAGGCTGCCCTCAACAACCAGCCCATGCAGGTCATGGTCGAGCCCAGTAAGGAGCCAGCTCCTGCCTTGTTCCACAAGAAGTAATGAGAACTGCCTCATGAAGTGACTGGAGGATCTTCTACAATTTGTGATCTCTGCAGACCACTTCTGCAGGAAGTGGTCTGTCTCTGCAGAGACCCTGGAAGAGAAAGTTGGGGGTAGTGTTCAACCTTTTTGCTGTGTAAACATGCACTCTGTCCCTAAAGGCCGTTTTGAGTCAATTAAACTCAGCTTTATTTACTCTAACTCTATTCTCTTCCAGCTCCCTGCCTAGAAATTTCTATTGTGTGCTAGGCTCTGAAGACAAAAATGTAAGTGCCATTTAGAAGGAGGCAAGATGTAAACAGATAAAATTAAGTATAATAAACATAACAATAAACTACACAGACAGAGGGAGTAAAGGGGTAATATGTGTCTGGTGTGCGCATGCAGCAGGGGTGTCGAGGACCACATCCCCTTCGTGAAGAGGCTTCTGTCTCCATTATTAAATCTGGCTTTGGTTCGTTCTCACCTTACTCTGCATACACTCATCAGTGAGCTCAGCAGGTCCATGGTTTAATGACCACCTTGAGACTCATGCTTGTCACATCTGTGTTACTCAACATTGCTCTTGACCTCCAGCCTTGCACACCTTCAAATGTTTTGCTGGCAGGTCAAACTCAGTATGTCCACCAGGAAACCCTTCTTTCTCTTTCACCTCTCCCCAAATCTGTTCCTTCCTGCAAGCCACACGAAAATGTCCTGAGGCACTTCTCCTCTAGGCACTTTCTGTTCTGCTACTGTGTCTTCTGCGCCAGGTATCCTACATCACACTTGTGCTCCTGAACAAACCATAGTTTCTTATCCATTTTTGAATTTTAAAATTCCCAAGATCCTGCCAATTCCCAGCCATCTTTCAGCACCTGACTTGAAAATTCCCACTACAGAGTTTTCTTTGAATGCCCTAGATTGAGCTGTCTGCCCTAAGTCCCACATGTCATCCTAGAGTCATCCTTTTTACCAATCGGCATCCTCCTTCAGCCTGAATGTCTAGAAAGTGGGGATCCTATCCCCATATTTATCTTTCTATCTCCAGCATTTGACAGGTTCTGATCACAGTTAGCAAGTTTGCACTGGATGAGTAAGTGATAAAATGAATGAGTTCACTTATCTAAGAACTAAAGGGCACAGAACCACATATTTGGAGATTTTACACCATAAACATAAACAAAGTCCATTAAACATCCTGTGTTTCTAAGCAAATCAGTGTAGCTTCTTTATTCCTTACATTCTTTAAGAGCAATGCTATCTAGTAGAAATTTCTGTGACAATTAAAACATTTTTAATTTTTCTTCCCAAAATAGCAACCACTTTTTAAGATCTGGAATGTGACTAGGATGATTGGGAAATAATGGGTTTCTCAGCAGAAACCATGAGGACAAGAAAGTAATGGAATGACATACATTGAAAACTAAAAGAACACAACTGACAAAACTGTCCATGAAATATGAAGAAGAGATCAAGATATTATCAGAAAAGCAGAATCTAAGAGAATTTGTAAAAACAAGACCAGCATTGCAAGGAACACTGAGAGGCGTCCTTCTTACTCAGGTACCACAGAAAGCAGGATGGAACAAAGTAACCAGCAACAACACCAAACAACTCAACAAAATGATAGCGATAAAACCTAGCCTCTTAATAATTACACTGAAGGTAAATGGCTTAAATGTACTACTAAAGGGGAAAAAAGTAGCATATTGGATTAAAAGGCAAAGTTCATCAACATGAAGAGACATATCTGAAAAGGGAAGATAAAGACTAAAAATAAAAGAATGAAAAAATATATACCAAGCAAATTACAATCAGTAAAAAGAATGAGTAGCAAAAAGAATCTCTGATAAAATAGATTTCAATGCAAAAACCATCACAAAAGACAAGGAAAGTCACTATATAATGCTTAAAAGGATAAATAGAACAAGAATACATAAGAGTAATAAATATCTATGCACCAAATGATAAGCTGCACAATATACAAAGCAAGTATTAACAGAACTAGAAAAAAAAATAGACAACACCACTATAATAGTAAGAAACTTTAATATACTATTCTCAGGAAAGGTAGAACTACCAGAAAGAAACTCAACAAAGATGCTAAAGAATTAAACCACACAATAAACAAACTAGATCTCATAGATATAGACAGGTGAATGCACCCCCAAACAAGCACAGTATACCTACTTCTCCAATGTGCATGAACATTCTCCAGAATAGATCATATTTTAGGTCACAAGGCAAGCATCAATAAATTAAAAAAACATAGAAATAATACATAGCATCTTCTAAGATGACAACGCTATACAATTAGAAATTAATAGCAAGATGATAAAGGATAAAATACCTAGGTCAAAAGACAAGCATAAATAAATTTTAAAAAGCATAGAAATAATACATAGCATCTTCTCAGATGACAATGCTCTAAAATTAGAAATTAATAACAAGATGATAAAGGAGCAAGTACCATACATTTGGAAACTGAGTAACATCTTGTTTGAACATGAGTGGGTAACAGAATAAATTAAAAAAAAAAGAAATTAAATGCATTTTGAAACAAATGACAATGAAAACACAAATTACCAAAACCTCTGAAAAATAGCCAAAGCCGTAATTAGAGGCCAATTTATAAGCAAACACATCTAAAGGCAAGAAAAAAAGATATTTGACTCTCTAACTCAACATCTGCAACAAATGCAAAACAGAACGGAAAGGAAACCTGACATCCTCTAAAAAAACTGAAATTATAAAAATTAGGGCAGAAATAAATAAAATACAAAACAGAAAAACAACTGAAACCATCAACAAAATCAGGAGTTGGTTCTTTGAAAAGGTCAATAAAATCAACAAACACCTAGTAATAAGAGATAAAAGGGGCAATGTCACGACAGAACCAACGAAAATAAAAAGATTAACAATGGAATAGTATGAAAACCTAGAGGAAATGGACAAATACTTAGAAACTGACAACATGCCTAAACTGACACAGACAGAAATCGAACACCTGAACAGACCCATTACAAAAGAAGAAATTGAACAGGTACTAAAACAATTTCCAACAAAAGAAAGCCCTGTGTTATGGTTATCTCAACAACTATGAAATATCATCTCACCCCAGTAACAATAGCAATGTTCAGCAGATTAGCAAACAACAAATGCTGGCGAGGTTGTGGAGAAATTGGAACCACTGTTCACTGTTGGTGAGAGTTTAAAATGGTGCGACCACTATGGAAGACAGTATGGTGCCTTCTCAAAAAGTTGGAAACAGAAATACCATTTGACCCAGCAATTCCACTACTGGGAAAATACCCTAAAGAAACCAGAGCTGCCACCCAAACAGATGTGTGCACATCTATGTTTATTGCTGCGTTGTTCACAATAGCAAAGAGATGGAAGCAACACAAGTGCCCGTCAACAAATGAATGGATAGAGAAGCTGTGGTATATTCACACAATGGAATATTAGCAGCACTAAAAAACAAAAGGCTCATATAATATTATGCAATATGGATGACCCTGGAGGACATTATGCTGAGTGAAATATCTCAGTCACAAAATGAAAAATGCTGCATATACCACTGTAATAAAACAGGAATGATGTGGGAGTTTAGGGGAAATAAAAAAAAGAGGATAAATAATGAATACTACATTGAAATAGATGAGGGAAAGGAGTGTTTAAAAGGAACATATGATTAGGCATGACAACAATCTAAAATAAACCGTGTATAGCAAAGTGAACTTGGTGAGATGGAGGGAGAAAATTGTACAAAAATGAAAAAATTATTTTAAAGAGAAAAGTAAACTGGAGGGCTAGGGAGGAAATCGTGCAACAATGAATGAATTTAAATACAAGTTAGAGGAACAAAAATTTTTTTTAAATAAAAATAAAAATAGTGTGTGCTAGAAGCCTCTTGTTTAAACCCATTAGGACCAGTGAGCAGATGTTCATGATTAACAATCTGTTGGGCATGACTTCTGTGGTGTGAAGATTAATTTACTATTATAGTTACAAAATGTCAGTTTCTTGTGTTTGGGGAGAACATTGTTCTAATTGGTACAACACTTCTCTGTAAGTTTGTTGTACTGAGACAAGTTGTGGGTTACTCTAATACTGAAAATTATGCCACTATTGTATGAAATGTCATAAGGGTTACCGATGGTGCATAGGTTTTAGGAGAGCTCCCAGATTAAGAAAGACATAGAAGCCAGATTGGCCATCTACTTCTTAGATAACAGGCCTCTGAAAACTGTATTAACAGTAGAGGAACATGAACTGTTCTAGTAATGTGGTGGTAGAGCCCAGATTGGAATTGAGTTGAAATGAGGAAAAATAATGAGACATCATTTATGATGAGGCTTCAGCTCGCAACACTCTAGGCATGTTGCTAAGATGGACTATCCCCTGGAGTGGGACATGATGCTAGGAAAGGTAGAGGGCTGGTGAAAGAGAGGAAGACCCTCGACCAGATGGACTGACATGATGACTACTACAATGGGCACTAGTGTGTCAGAAAGTGTTGGGATGGCACAGGATAGGGCAGGGTTCATATCTCTTGTTTACAGGCTTGCTATGGGTTGTACTCAACTCAACAGCACCTAAGAACATCAGCTGTATGGTACTCACTAACTCACTCCTTGCTTGCTGGAAATCCTTGTTGACCTTCCATTGGTTTCTAAAGCTGGAAATCACATGGAAAGAGATTGCCTATATTCCTCTCACTAATTAATTTACTGCCACATAGGGACAGCCTTTAGAACCCAGAAACACACCAAGTTGTCTATGGCCAACTGATATTTGACAAGGAAATTAAACCCATCAAATAGCGAAATGGCAACCTCGTCAACAAATGGTGCTGGCAAAACTATACTGCTACCATCAGAAAGCTGAAACAGGATCCACATCTTACACCATACACAAAAATCAACTCAAAATGGATCAACTAACTGAGAGTAAAGCCCAAAACCATTAAGTTCATCAGAGACAAACTATGATCAAGCTTAGGTGGCATAGTCTATGTTATAAAAAGACTGACAAATACAACCAGAAATGCACAATCTGGAGAGGGTAAAATTGATGAATGGGACCTTCTAAAGATTAAATGCCTGTGCACATCAAAAAGTTTCCCCAACAAAGTGAAAAGAAAACTACTGACTGATTAAAAAACATTTAGCAATTCTATTTCAGACAAGGGTCTCATATCAAAGGTTTACGGAATTCTACATTGCCTCCAAAAGAAAAAAACAAAAACAAAACCCCCTGATAACACAATTACAAAATGAGCAAAAGACATGGAAAGAATTTTCACAGAGGAATATATTCAGATGGTCAACAGACACTTGAAGAAATGCTCAAAATTACTGACAGTAAGAGAGATACATATTAAGACCACAATGAGATACCATTTCATCCCAGTAGCAGTGGCAAAATCTAACAGGACTATAAGTAATAAATACTGGAGAGGATGTGGAGAGATTCTTGCTGTTGTTATTCTGACTCCAGCTATCTTCTGGAATACTGTCCAACTCTCTCCTGGCATACATAATCAGTCTTTTCTTCCTACTATCTCTTTGTAATGACATTCTGTAATCGCTATGAATGATATTCTTTATATCCTCCCCCAGCTCATTAGTATTCAAGGGCTCAGATCTGTTCCTGAGATAATTTTTCAATTCAGGTGGGATAGACTCAAGGTCAAATTTTGGTTCTTGTGGATTTGATCTGATTTTTCTTAGCTTTAGTTGAACTTGCATGTGAGTAGTTGATGGTCTGTTCCAGAATCAGCACCTAGTTTTCTCAACTGGTATTTAGCTTCTGCAATGATTCCTTACACAGATGTAATAAATTTGACTCCTGTGCAAGCCATCAGGTAAAGTGTAGGAGTATAGTCATCATCTTTGTTTCTTACAAAAAGTAGACCTCAAAAGAAAAACACCAAAATAAAATGCTATCAAATTTCTGAAAACTAAACACAAAGAATACTGAAAGCAACTTAGGAGAAAGATTAAACTCCAATTTTTCAGGAGAAACTATGAGGAAAGAAACAATGGAATGACATATGTAAAATTAAAAAATAGCAAATAAAATGCCAACCAACAATCTTGTACCAGGAAAATTGTCCACCAAATCTGAAGGTGAAATTAGATAAAGCAGGTAAATAGAAGCTAAGGGAATTTGTGGAAACTAGATCAATCCTGCAAGAAATCCTAAAGGAGGATCTTTGCACTGAAAGCCAGTAATTACAAAAAATTTATAATAAACCAAAATCAACATATCTGATGACATTATCCATAAATTAACCTGAAATAAACAAAATGTGTTAAACATACAACGTTAGGGGCCATCGTCACTTTTGAGGAGATTATGGCTTCACTTTTCCAGAGACAGATTTATTTGTTCGAGTTCATGGTATACTTGGCATTCTTTCGCCAACACCGTAATTGAATGGCATTAATTCTTCTTCAATCTTCCTTATTCATTTGTCCCACTTTCACAAGCATATATCTTTTAAAATGGATTTGTCCACTGCAGTATGTTGCTTGATTTCTTGACTGTTGCTCCCATAAACATTTGTTGTGTGGCCAAGTAGAATGAAATCCTTGACAATCTAAATCTTTTCATTTTATCATGGTTTTGTTTATTGGTCTGGTTGTGAGAAATTTTCTTTATGAAACAAGGTGCATGTGTGTGTTTTCAGTATTTACATTGTGTTTTGTTAGTATACATTATGCTTTAAATAGCCATTCATATACATTGTCTTTTATGTGATCAATTACTTTTGATCCATGCTCATACCTCATATTTTCAGGTCCTCATTGAATCTTTCCTATTCCTTCACCTCCTCCCACCACATCTTCCCACTAACCTCTGCTATCCTAATAATTTCCCTCCTTCCCACTTTACTGTCCCTTTCCTCTTTTCCTCTTCCTCTTTTGAATGTTTATACCCATCTTGCTCAGTTATCCTTCTATTTTATAATAGTGGTCTTACACAGTATTTGTTTTTATAAGACTGAGTTCATTCAGCATAATACTCTCTAGACTCTCCCATATTATGTAGTATTTTATGAAATTGCTGCATTGTTGTTGTTATGTGCCATTGAGTCACTTGTAATTCATAACAGCTTAATACTGTGATCTATCCTGTGCCAATCTTTTTGTCTCTGACACACCTATTCCTGTTACCCTAGTCACTGAATCAATTCATCTCATTGAGGGTCTTCCTCTCCTGCACTGTCCCTCC